GCACCTAATAGGTGGCCTCTTTGCCTGCTATGAAGGGATGGACAGTTACAACCATGCCTTCCCCGAGATTCAAACCCGAGCCTTTTGGCTCCGCAACCCCTATACCTTCTGGGTGGTGACAGGAAAACTGATATTGTAAAATTTTGAGCTGACATACTCAGGATAAAAGAAGGGGGAAAACAGAAATGCATAGCATTCACGAAATTAGATCTATTTTAACTTTCTTTCATGGACTTGTTGAAAGTTCATTTAATTATGTGAGTAATATCATGACAGAATATAGAAAACTCCTTTAACACTTATAGCCTAGATGATGTGCAGACTGAGAAATATTATTTTTTCTAATTACATGAAAACAGTCATTAGGTATATAAAATAACTACTTGGGGCCCATAATTTGGAAGGGCCTAGCTTCAGCACAGAAAAAAATAAACAAAAATAATATATTAAAATATTTTAACATTTTTGATACACTATTAATAATTTTGGGTATATTTAAATAATAAAAATGTCTTCATAATAATGGATTAGAATTAGATTTCATGCTACATAGTGTATCAGTGCATGAACTATGTATACGTGATTATTATAAATAGCACATTGTACAATGTGTTCATTTTTCATTCATTTTGCAGTTATGAATGCTGTTGTTATAAGCAGTGTAAGCACTTATTCTTTGGTTCATTAACTTTTTTATAAGAAACTTGCATAAATAGGACCTAAGTATAAATACACTGCTCGACGTTGAAAATGCAACACCAAAAAGGAATTTTCAGAAATTTATGCAAATTTTAGAGTAGATGCATGTCACTGAGTTATGCGAATGATGTAAAATGCGCAGCTCTCCAACGCACATGAAGTAAGATATAAGGGAAGGAATGTGCAGAATGGGCAATATTTGTGTCGTTATTTGTGCGAGACAAATTATTGAAGAAAGTTGGTTTTTGTCCCGGAGCACACGTGTAATAGGAGAGAATGCCAGGCCGCCATCAACGAAGGCACTTCCAGCAGATAGATGATTTTACATGGGGTATGGTGATCGGACTGAGAAGGGCGGTTTGGTCCTTACGTCAAATCGCAGCTGATACCCACATGGCGAGCCGTGCATCGGCTATGGTGAACATGGTTGGAACAAGGAAATGCGGACAGAAGGAGGGGTGCAGGTGCAGCCAGAGTGACGTCAGCATGTGTGGATTGACGCATCCTCTGTCAAGCTGTAGCGGACCCGCAAGTCACTTGTACCACGATTCTGCAGCATGTGCAAGATACCATGGATGTTCCCGTGTCGACCAGAAACATTTTCCATCGATTGGTTGAATGTGGCCTACACTCACAACGTCCATTAAGACTGTCATTGACTCCACAGCATAAATGCCAACGTTTAGAATGGTGCCGGACTGGAGCGCTGTGGATGACAGAATGGCGAAGCATCGTGTTCTCAGATGAGTCATGCTTCTGTTTATCCAGATGTGTGTGGCGTCAACGTGGGGACAGAATTAATCGGGCAGTAACTGTCGAATGCCCCACTGCGCCAGCGACAACGTGGCATAATGGTTTTGGTTCGCTACTCCCTACGATTCCAGGTCACCTCTATTTCGTATTCAAAGCACTATGACGGTCCAACAATACTTGGATAATGTACTGCGGCCGGTGGCAATCCCCTACCTTAATGGACTGCCTAATGCAATTTTTCAGCAGGATAATGCCCGACCACACAGCTCTCGCATCTGCCAACATGCTCTGCAAGGATACATATGCTTCCCTGGCCACCGTACTCTCCTGACCTGTCCCAACTACATGTGTGGGATGTGATTGGATGCCGTTTGCAGTCTCTGTCCCCTGCCTCATTCAAAGACAACTGTGGCAAAGGTTGAAAGGGAATGATACCATCCCTCAGGACTCATCTGCACTCTTATTGACTCTATACCTAGATGTGTTCTTCTCATCATCGATTGTCTTCGGTGGTCCTACATCATACGCCGACGCCATTTCTCGTCTGTATCTGACTAATCATTTTGAAATAAAGATCACTTATTGCTGCTTGTTATCTCTTTTTTCCAAATTTCATCACTTTCTGACCAGTCCTTCTTGGTGTTGCATTTTCAATGTCAAGCAATGTATTATCTGGGACACGTTAGAGGCTTAATCTGCTATTGCACAAAACTACATGTAAAGCTTTTGAGTTGGAAAAATTAGACTGAAGATTCTATTGGGTAAAGATTATTTATTGAATAACTGAACTGGGTTATTTTATTGAATAACTGGGTTATTTTATTGAATAACTGGACAGCTTACCAAAATTCTTTACATTCTATGAGTGCTTCCTCATCTACGGTACTTGTTAATGTGCATTTTTTTTAAAGTTTTAATTTAATATTTAAAAGGTTAAGTGAGAAGTCCTTATTTGCATCAAAATAGCTTACTGATCATCGTTAACTGAACTCTCTGTTAGCAAAAAGTATAAGTGCAGCAGTTTGCTCAAATTATCTTCCCTCCAAAAAAAAAAAAAAAAAAAAAAAAAAAAAAAAGAAACTAAGCAAATATTTTTTTAAATGTTGAAAAACTAAAAAGATGAACAACTGTGAGAAATGACGCAATGAAAAATATTTTAATAAATTGAAAAAAAATTACTTTTTTCTTTTCATATAAAATTGCGTGAAATGTGTGTACGTTGCACTTATTTGCTTAATGTTAATGTCCCGAATTTATTTGAAATTGTACCAAATTTTTGTACTCTGCTGTAGATTTTAGGATTTTCCAAATGGAGCAGCAATCATCCCTGTAATAAGTTACTTAGAGCTAAATGCTTGCAGAATTATTTAGTTTTATGAATCATATCTTTTTCTTAAATTTCTAAGCAAAACTGGTTGCATTTACTTATATTTCACTTTTCAGTAACAACAAAGCAACTGGTTCACTTTAGCATCTCGGGTAAAAAAGTCCCACTATGAACTATGAAACTAATAAAAATGTTTTCTCAACTAACGGTTACTATTTATTACCTTGAAGAGTTTATTAGTGAACACTGATTGACATTCCTAAAACAAAGTCATGAATTCTACTCCTATGTAAGGCATGGCAATTTGTGCATTGCCTTTCTGTTCCTTAGTAGGTTTTGGCTGCTTCTTTGATGCATCCTTGGCAGTATTTTTTGTGATGAGACAATTAAATTACTAATAATATAGTTATTCATAACACATGATGAATGCTGAATTGGTAAAGACATGGATGTTGGATTAAAACATAGCATTACTTTTGAGGTTTATGAGGAGAGAACATGCAGTGAGAATTTAAACTAAAGAATGAAGTAGTAAAGTCTGGATTGGTGTAATCAGTTCTGGCAAAACTTGCAAAGGCCATCTCTAAACTGCATCCAGTTTGATCAAAAGGACCTGAAAGGGCAAAATTAAAGGGACCTGAAAGGGCAAAATTAAAGGGACCTGAAAGAGCAAGATTAAAGGGACCTGAAAGGACAATATTAAAATACTATCTGCTTAAGAGGAGAAATGTCTTCGTTGAGTATTTTCTAAGAGAAACTGGCTCATATCCATGTTACACAAAGGCAAAACCATGAAAATGCCAATGCAGCTCCTGTTTCTGTACTGCATGTTGCGTTACTGGCTTTTCAATCAGTAGCATTACTCCTATTCATCAAAATCACTATAGAATTGAATGCCTTCTACAATATCCATGCCTTAATCTGGTTTGTTTGGCTTATTTGATTATGGAAAAGCATCCAAGGACTATCTGCTTAAGAGGAGAAATGTCTTCATTGAGTATTTTCTAAGAGAAACTGGCTAATATCAATGTTACACAAAGGCAAAACCATGAAAATGCCAATGCAGCCTGGTCATTCACTGAAATTTAGCTCAGTTTAAACTGCCAGTGTTCAGCACCATTATTGATTAGCCATGCCTTAATCTGGGGTTTAAACTTCAGCTGACCAGAATTACAGCCAGCCTTCATTAATCACCATATCAACCAGGGTGGAAATGTGAAGTTTGTAAATCTCAGGGGAATTTTTAGATGAAAACTCGTGGAAATACTGAACTAAAGAGATTTACATTTTTCTTTTGTGTTGAATGTTGGATTGCTGTAGTAAGGGGTTTTAGACTAAAAAGGTCTTAATTACTAACTATAATTAAGTATGGACAGTTTTTAATGGAACTTCAGAAAAATGACAATGTTCTGTATAAAAATTCCAATCCATAAAAATGAAATTTTTAAAGGATTTCATTACAAAGAAACTTATTTAAATATAATTTTTCTGTTTTTGGTTTCATGTTAAAAATCATGCACTATCACATTGAATCATCATCAATAATGAGAACAAATATCTCAAATTTTAAACAGTTCTAGTTGAAGACTTGTAAAAGTTTTGAAAAGGTGTACCTGGCTTCTGATTACATTTGAAAATTTATATGAGTTTATACTTTCATTTTAAAGTACTTTTGTTCAGTACTTAGAATGATTAGTTAACAGTAATCATTCTTAAATTTTCTGTTATGTGTTAATGATTGAAATATGCAATCTCAAATTAGCATCACGTTCAGACAAGAAGGTGCATGGTTTTCAAAAGGCAAGTAATGTGATTTTTCATCCTTTATGGCACCTAAAAAGTGACCACAAGCAATGAGTAGTTCAAAGAAAGGAATTAGCAGAGAATTCTAAAGAAAATAAATTAAGTTTTTTTTAAAAAATCTTTTTATTTAAAGTTAACTTTGGCTTAAAATATATTTTTAGAAGCAAATTAGTCATTGGTGCCAAAAAAAGTGAAATGAAATCCTTTGCTAAAAAGGTATTTTTTATTTTTAAATAAAAATATTTTTGACATGGGAAATGTTATGGATTAGGGATTCTGTAGGCATTTTATTTTCTTTGGCTAAAATTGTGTTTAAAAAGTTTTCGTTTTTACTTTTCAATTATTTTACCCTATGAAATTCAGTGCTATTTTTATAACATTGGTAGATTCTTACCATATGCACTTTTTTCCCCCCCAGCCAGCTATTTATAAGATGTATTGCAGTTTAGAAATAAAACCAGACTCATTCTGTGAATATTTGCTATCTGATGAAGTTGGTTTCAGTAGATGTGAACTCATTGGGAGGACTTTTAATTGCACTAAAGGTATTTATAGTTCTTTGGTTCTCATTAAATATAATTATTTGAAAGGCTTTGTATGAATTAAATTGATTTAAATTAAAAAAATTACTACGTGATCATTTCATCTTAATTGCATCATAATTTCAACTACAGTTTTTATGTCATCTAAAATGCGTTTCCATTAACTTTATTGTATTTATTTTTCTGTAGACTGCAAACATTTCCTTAAATGTCTCTTTTAATACTTTTAAGTGCTACTTATGAAATTATTTTCCATTTTGAGGAACAAAATTGTATTTGACTGTTTTGGAAGATAAGAGGAATGAAATAAATTGATCATCCATATAGGTACAACAGTTTAAAAAATACACATTTTAAGATTTAGTTGAAGAAAAATATATCTTATTTTTGGTAGGAATCAGTTTGAAGCAAAATATATTTGTTTAGCATTTTCTGTCATACCTATAAAAGTTTATAAATAGTAATTAGCTACTAACTGATTGTGGATGCATAGTATCCAGAAGCTGTCATATTATAAATACATACATTTATTTAAATTTTCTTGTGTAAAAGTTTTGATCTGTTTGCCAAAGTAATTAAAAAAATATTAATATAGGCCCTGTGAAGAATAAAGGTAACACTTTTCCGATTAACAAATCCATGTTTCTGTTATCTTTTCCTAGAATTGAAAATCCGGAATAGTAAAAAAATCAGAAAAAGATGATGATAAACACAGATGTCATATTTTAATTAAATCTAGAGAAAATGTGACTTCACTGGAAAAATGAAAAAAAATATTTTTGTGTGAAATTTATTCATCAACAAATAAACTAATAGAATTTTCCAAATAGTAGGTATCCAGTGGAGAACCTACAGAGTACTTTCATATATAAAAATGGTAATTTCTTACAGCACTGCTAGATTAATACCGATATTCCATTCTGTTTAAGCTGATGTCAATCAGGTGAGTAGGAAGGAGCAACTTTTGTGTCTCTAAAAAAAGAGGACATTTTTTAGTTGCAATTTGAGGGTTTGTCACAATTTTAGAAAACATTGTTTTTGAAATTTTATTGTGGTCTTCGTGCATATGTATAAGAAAAATTTTAATTATTTTGTATTTACTTTTGCGTAACTGTTTAAACTGTAGTTTACTGCCAATATAAAAATCTCTAAAGAGGGTACTTAGGAATTATGATGTCACTGCCTTGTTTCTCTGAAAGGTAGCATGTTTTAGAATGCCACGTATCTTATGTGTGTGAGCTGTGTCTTAGTCAAGATCTTAAATAAAAAATAAGTCCTCATCTTTTAAACTTTTATGGTCTCTTTAATGCTACCAACTATCAGCTACCTGTGTATATCTGTAACAAAAATTTGAGCAAGAATGTGAGGCGTAAATGGTGCAGTAGCAGTTCTTTATCCTTGATGAAACATTCTTGAATAAAACATACACTGCTCATTTTGTGCGAAAAAAAGGCCCATTTTTCAAACATTACATTCATACTGTTTATATACTAATAACAGTATGTTTGAAGTAAGGCAGAAAACAACCAGCAGAGAATGCATAGATTATAATGTGAATGTGAATGAAATTATGATTCTACCTTATTGGTTTGTAAAAATTTTGATTTGCAAATTTTGTTATTCACTATTCGATGAAAGGCCTTTTGCTGTTACGTGAGTTTGTGCATGATGAGTATTATGAGCGAAAAATCATGATGGGATTCATTTTGAAATGACACAGCGAGATATGTATATTAGCATGGAAAGTGGAAATAACTGAGTTAAAATGAGATTTAAGGGGTTATTACAAATTAAAGTTAGAATTTTATATTACATATTCTTTATCTTTGTGTGTGCACGTATACATATATATACACTTGCGTGCAAAATTAAGAGAATTTACACATTAGGTCAAATTTCTGTAAAACTAATGGACGGATTTTAATGAAATTTAAGTATGAATTTATAACAGAGAAAGAGATGTACTGTTCAAAAGTCATTTTATGTATGCAAGATTATCAGAAATTACATATTAATGTTTTTAATTGCTTATCTTTACATGAAATGTAGAGTGCATTTTCTGGATTTTTATCAATTATGCTTTTTGTCGGTTATGTTGTTTTCAGAAATGTGCAGTATCTTTTAAAGTACAAGAAATAATATTTAAAAATGAGTATTTAATTGTTTGTTATGATTAACGGTTTTCTAGTTAAAAAGAACAATATTTCATTCAGGTGTAGAAATATAAGTTTAAAATATAACAAGCTTAAATTGTCATGTAGTAGCAGTATCGTTTAAATTCCTTGCTGAATCTGCATGCTTTTGGTATCATCTGTAATGATTTATTTTCAGAAAAGCATTTATGTCTAAATCTCTTTGTGTAGAAAATAAAGCAAACTGTAACTATGCGTCATTACGGAGCAAATGTGTCAGATTATTGTATGGAATCTATACACTGTGTAGGTAATTGTTTGTACCATTTTGGGATGCATTTGGAAATTTTTTGTTCAATTAGAATGGATATTTATTATTTTTATGGAACTTGAGAAGGGTACATGGATTACAGCTGTATTAAGAGAAATTAGTTGCTGGAAGTCATCAAATAGGATTTTGAGACATTAGGTATTTTTTGGAAGCAGGAGACTTCAAAAATGACCAAACACCTTCGCCGGGAATCGAACCATGGACCTCTCAATTACGCGCCAAGCGTGCAGACCACTACACCACGAAGGCACACTAAGAAGGCGAGAGAAATGCCTTATATAATGCAAGAAGCTATGTTTGCTGTGTATTGATTCTGTTTTGTCTTACTTTTTGTGGTATTATCATGGAGTTAAAGAATTTTTTTTACAATACATCATTGGCTACATGTACATTGTTGTTAGAGTTTCACATCCATCCAACTACCTTAAATAAAACTTATTCTGTATCTACATCTTAACATTTAATTTTAAAATGCTGTATATGTTTAATTATAGATGCAAAATTTCAGGCTTCATTAAATTTATATGCAAATACTGCATAATTAATCACAGTAATATGATACACACATTTCTGTTGCTGCGATTGTTATAGTTAGGTTATTACTGAAAGTCTTCTGTTCTTAACTCATCAAATCAGTAATCATCACTAGTGTTTTAATATCATTTACACTAGAGCAGAGTTTCAGTATAATTTTAAGCACACATAGTGTTTGAAACATGCTTCTTGATTATAAGAAATATTTAAGCATTTGATGCCAAAAACTTTGTATTATACAGTCAAAAGTCTTTAATCCGGACTCGTCGGGACTTCGGCGATTCCGGATTATCGATTTTTCCAGATTATAGATCATCAGTTTAAATCTGGTAAGATGGCATGCAGAAATTATAAAATTAAAAATATGAAACCGTATTTATAAATAATGAGCAATTATGATCTAAAGGGTATCCAAATTTACCAAAAAAGAAGCCTAATATTTATTGTTTACTTTATTACAATTTCTTTTAACGCGCGGATGCGTAAAGCTACCTTACTCATAGCCGAAATTAGAAAATTGCAACCAGAAAACTATGTGATTTATATTCGTGATATTTATAATGACGAGGATTTATTTAAATCATATCAAAGACGGAGTACATCGAAATTAATACTACATTTAGTAAGGAATTATAAGCCGACTAAAATAAAAGCATCTGCCCTAAGATAACGATAGTGTTTGACGATCAACTTCCAGTTCATTGCGCGCCGCGACGTGCCCCCCCCCCCCCGTGAAATTGATAAACATTTCGGAACGGTTTAGATAAACAAAGGATATGCTTTTATCCATTTTTTGTAGCAATTCGTTTTTTGTTTGATGGACATCGAAACATACTTTCTTTCTAGATCCTTGGGAGCTCCAGCATCGGAAATTCTATTTGACATAATCGAAAGTTCAAGCTTACTTTTAGAAATTGCTCTTACAGTCTGCAAAAAATAATAAGCCGGATCCAATTTGAAGATTAAGGAACAACGCAATTATCAACATTACTGAAATAGATAATTAGATAATTTTTAGCTTTTACCGCTGTTACATTACACACGCACGCGAAAACGTATTCTGCACTTGCCGATGCAATGCGCAGTCGTAAATGTCTTGCGCGCACGAGTAAAACGCCTATGCGCATGCGTAAATGCGGCGCATGCGCAGAAAGATTTTAGCTTTGAGGTCCGGATTATAGATCATTCCGGATTACGGGTGTCCGAATTAACGACTTTTGACTGTATTTGCAATATATTGTACACAGCCTACATATAGCTGAAAAGATAAAAGGTGCAAAATCAATAATTTTTGCAAAGAGCCTAGAAGTAGAAAAATAAACATCTGCATAATTAAATTATTTTAAAGACATCAGAGTAACTCATTAATGAATTATTTTTTAAAATCAGCTGCTCAAAGTTTAAGATTTGACAATAATTTTGAGTTTGGCAGCTAAAAAAATCTTTATTTTATTTTAATACTAAGAAATTGTTAACAGTAAACTGTAAGTGAATTCTATAATCTACCAAATTAAAATTTTTTATACCAGCAGTTATTTTTCAGTGTTAAACAATAGGAAGCATTTTGAGAAACAAATGTGTTTCTATACATATGTCTAAATTTTTCTGCAAAAATTTTTTTGCACCTGAAGTTTGAGGTCGATTAATTCAAGTTCAGATTGATTTACAGATAGTTAGGATTACAAGAACTAATAACTGAAGAATATTTAGAATTGAATTAGTTAAAATGAACTGAAAAATATTTTTAAAATTTAATTCTAGTATATACACTCTTATACAAAAAGAAAAGGTGACGCAACCACGACGCACTGAGAAGATATAAAGCAAATTGGACACAAATTGATATACATGCAGGTTTCGACAGTAAATGCAAAATTTTACATTTTGGCTGCTAATGAATGAACGGTTGTCGCTACTGCACATCTGATCTGCGCAACTGGCAAGCTATTTAAGAGGAGAAATTACGATTCCAGGTCATAAATTCTTCACGAATTTCATTCCGTGTA